TTAGCCAGCATAAAAGCGACCCACGAATCTTTTACCTTAAACGCCCACGTCTGCATCTTCTGTTAAAGCCACCGTGCGATTATGAGAAGCTGTGGATTTAAATGGCACCAAAATTGATCAAGGAAAAATAAGAAAAAGGGTTTATTCCTGATTCTTATGACTTGATCAACGGTATTTTGCATGGAAGAGCAGCCAAAGAAGCAGCTGTGAGATAAAACTGAGCAGCAAAGGGTTGAAGGCAGTTTCCTAAACGTGTGGATTCAGTGGAGTCCGGCCTGCTGCTGGTCCTTCAGCTCAAAGTGGACAGAGGTTTGCTTTGTGGGCAGACACTGTGCAGACACAGTGCAGCTTCTGTATGGGCTTTTTTTAAAAAAAACTAACATTTATCTATCCTTTTTATTTTTCCCCTTGTTGTGAAATGGGTTGTTGTTGAGTTTGGATGGTCCATCTCCTCCATCCGCCGAGTTGCTACCAGAGGCTGAACAGGCTTTTTTACATCAGTCTGTTTGAACAGCACACAGCACTTTTCATCCATGGACATTTTACGCTTTTTTATGCTTTGTTGTTAACGTGCCCACATGGTTTGTGCGAGAGTAAGAGTACAACGTGTACGGTAACGTGAGCTCTGTCCTAATTAACGTATTCGTACTTCCCCTCAGAACTAAGAACCTGTTGGGATTAATGAGGATCCTCAAACTGCAGCCTCCACCGGTGCTGTGTCCCACGAATCCAGCCGGCTTCTGGTGGGGCCTGAGAGGATCGGCTGGCTTTTGAAGCCGGCTTCTGATGCTCAGCCCCAGAGGTTCCAGGCAAGCGGGGGGACGCTGAAATAAAGGCCTTATTCCCTAAACTAGGTTAAAAAACAGTCAGGTGAGCAAAAGTAAAGCAGAGATTCTTCAGAAGATCCTTCTGAAGATTCTTCAGATGTTTCTAACCTATTTTTGATGATATGATTATTGTGAGATTTAGTTTACCTTGTAAACATTTGGCATAATTGAGTTATCTATCTATCTATCTATCTATCTATCTATCTATCTATCTATCTATCTATCTATCTATCTATCTATCTATCTATCTATCTATCTCTGACTATGATTATGGGTATGGCTCCCCCTGCTGGTTGGGGACATCACCTCCACGACGGTCTGACTTTCTCATCTGAAAACAATCAAATTCTTTGGATGTTTTTCTTGCATCCTGTTGGTTCTCGTTGCAGATGATCCCGGACTCCTAAAGGATCAGGATCAGTGTCCGGCGACGCCTTCACTGACCCTGTCTGTACTGGGCGTGTTCCTGACGTTGCGAAGGAAAAAAAAAAAAAAGTTAAATTCTCACATATCTTCTGTCAAGCGTCACGGAAAGGGCGTAGGTATAAGTCTGAAGTTGCTTGGTTCCCTCGATACAGTAAACAATGATGCCACAGAGGTTTATGAGTGCACATTTGGACATTTGGACAAGTCACCAGATCCTGTGACAGTGTTTGGAAGAACAGAGGGCTGTCCATTCCGGTACCGTTTCGATTCTGTGGGTTATCTGTTTTAATTCCTGCATGGAAAATCACCCAGTCCACCTTCTCTGGGGCGTGCAGGACTCTCAAGTCCAAGCTGCGCCAAAAAAAGAAAAATGGGGGCGTGTGCGTAAATGCGCACACGTAGCGCCTCGCGGGCGGTCACCAGGGACACGCAGTCTGTGTGACAGCTGAGAAAAAAAGGGTTGTTCTGCAAAGCACAACTCGGCCACTCGACGGGTTGTTGTTTTGTCGTTGACAGGAGGTTCCCCCCAAAGCGCCTCTCCCTGAACCAAGAGCCGAGAGCTGCCTGACATCCGGCAGCTTTTGGAAATAAAGCTCCGAACTGACGTCATTTGGACTTAATTTGAATTTGAAGAATGAGCTGAATCTGGATAATCCCTACACTGGACTGATAAATCATCCTCCTTGGATTAAATTCTTGATTTATCACGGCAGGGCCGACCCATTTTCCTTAGTCCTTCTTGTTCTTGGACACATATTGAGACAGCTTGCTGGTCCTTTAAGTGAATTATCGGCGTAAACTGGACCCTAAATGCTGCCTTAGGCTTCACAGATGCGCAGTCAACCCTCAACATCGTCTATGCATGTCCAGCCGTGCCCTCTGACCTCTTCTGTCTCCACTTCCCAAAAGCCCATTGGCTGTGATGGCCCACATGGCTCTGGACTGTTTGTCAAACTAATTAATTCACACGCCAGGTCAAAAAAGGCAAACATGATCGATTATTTGATTTTCACTGGGCTTTAAGTGGATTTTAAAAGAAAAGTGACAACTTTAAGCCTGAGTTTAAAGTGTTTGTATGAGGATTTGTAATGACTGAACACTAGAATCGAGCAAAGTCCCTGAAGTGGTCATCCTGAGTGTTAAGGTTTGATTTTATGTCAGTAATCAAAATCAGTTTAAAGAATCCAAGAGGTGACCATAAAGTGACCCCCAGCTTTAAAAATGCTGCTTAAAGAGGTGCTAAACGTGAGTCTGGTGTAAGGAAATCTTCTCGTTTTATCTCAGCAGACTGACACAATCACAGGCAGTCCAAGGTCTGCCCTGAGTCAGACCCTTCATTAAACAAAAACACATCGATTTAGTGGCGAATCAGACAACAAATACCTACAGCAGAATCACCCCCCCCCTCAAAATAAACTGGAAAACACCTTGACTTACATAAAGTTCTGATGAGGTCACCAGGCACGCAGTTTTAAAGGAACAGGCAACCCCAAACGTTTTTTTTTTTATTCTGAAGTCAATCCGCGGCGTTTCCGGCGTGCCCGCGCCTCCTTTCTGGGGGGCTTGACGCTCCTCTGAGCTGTGCAGCCTCGCATCGGTGTGAAAGTAGGGGGGGGGGGGGGTGGGGGGGGGGGGGCGAAGCCGCATAAATGCAGGCTTCCACAATGCAGGCGTGAGGCGCTCCGCGTAGTAAAAAAAAAACGGAGGGGATCCGCGGGAGGAGGCCAGCGGAGGTTGTTGTTACTGGGTGCGGGGTGGGTGGTGGCGTGGGTGCTGCTGGTGGTGCTGGTGGTGAGGGTGGTGAGGGGGGGGGGGCGGGTTCCCTGCGAGCCCCGTCCGCTCACAGGATAAAAAACAAACCATGTCGAACCGAAAGCACCGGGACAACCAGGAGATCTGCGCCCGCAAGGTGCGGGAGCTGGCCCAGTCCGGCGTCAACAAACACTGCTTCGAGTGCGCGCAGCCCGGGGTGACTTACACCGACGTGACGGTGGGCAGCTTCGTCTGCACGTCCTGCTCCGGAATGCTGTGAGTATATAAGAAAAAAAAAACAAAACACACACACACACACACACACACACCTCAACCTCGAGCCGTTTTCGTTTTGCGCACGTTCGGTGGGGGACTTAACGGAGCACCAGGCCTGAAATAGCCCCGTGCGCCACCGGCCTGACACCAATGGACGGCGCGTTATTTGGCTCTGCGCACGGGAGAGAGAGAGAGATGGGGGAGGAAGGGGACTGGAGATGGGGGGGGTGCGGTGCAGCTGCCCGGGGATGTGCGCGCACATGAATTTACGCAGTGTCTCTCCTTCTGTCTGCGTGTCTTCCCAACAGCCCCGTAGTCGACACCAGACCGCTATAGCTGGTCGTTTCATTTCGTCGTGGTGCAGGTTTGACACTCTCGTCTCTATCCAGGCTCCCTCCGGGTGTGTGTGTCAGAAAGAGAGAGAGAGAGAGAGTGTGTGTAAGAGTGTGTGTGTGTGTGCTGTCACAATTTGTTCTGCATGTTCGGCCCTGTCCCAACACTCGGGCTCAGCACTGAAGTCGGTTATTGCGCAATCTCGCACAAGCAGTGTCCCACTTCGTGTCCCCGGCATGGAGAAAATTAGAAAAAAAAAATAGACGGCTCTAGTTACCCAGGACCTGTGTTTTTCTCTTTCACCAGGGTGTGTGGTTATGTGTGTGTGTGTGGCTCCTTTTCCACAACAGATCTGCCCCCCTGAATTCACAGTCACGTGTCACATACTGCC